TCATATGACATAGTCAATTCAAATTAACTTTAAATATATCTCAATACAGGTCATTTTGACATTGATTGTGCCTCACAGTATTTATGACTAACAATCTTAGTTTAGTGGGGATATTTTTAATCAAAAAGTTGAATTAAAAGGGAACTTCACAAGCAATCATGGAAATTAGTGGAACAGTCATTTTCTGTTCATTAGTTTTGAGGCTAGAGACAATTTCTTACTTCAAATGATCAGTCATTGTGTGTTAAGGATGTTGTGAAGATTAAAAAATGTGCATAAACCATGGACAAAGAGAATGTGGTCTTAGTTTCAAAATATTCCAAAGTTGTATAAAAACCCAACACCTTTACATTCTGCTATTAATCCTGTATGTAGTTGCTGCCTATTTACTAAATCCAGCCTCTGATTTATTTAATGTTTGATAGTTCAAAGTGGAAACGGATTTAATTGAATAATTCAACTAACTTCAATACATTAGGGTAACTATTTATCTAAGACCTTACTACGGTACAGCGGAAAGAGCATTGTGCTATAGAGTCCAAAGACCTGAATTAAACTCCTAACTCAGATGCAAACTATCTGTGTGACCTTGGGCAAATCACATATTCTCTCTTGGCCTCAGTTTCCTCATCTATAAAATGAGTATATTGGACCAGATGATATTTGAGGTCCTTTTCATTTCTAGATCTGTGATCCTATGAACCTGATATGTGCTGGGTACTGGGAAGCAAAAAAAAACCAAAACAGTTCCTGGCCTCATGAAATTTACATTCAACTGTATATGTGCAGTATTGGTTGTCTTCCACTTCAAAAGCAACAGTTTTGGTAAAGATTTTTAAAAAACAACTCTTGGGCTCTCTTAAACACATGTAGGTATAAACTGAAGCATCTAAACTTATAATAACATCTTTCAGATTTATCGATGAACTGAAAATTAAACAAAAAACCTCTTTGGTTTCAACCAATGTTTCTTTTAAAAGTACATCAATCTAACTTTTCTGACCTAGTAAGTAGAGTACACTAAACAAATAGAATATTTCTTTAGTGATTCAGGACTTCTTGTGACCAAAAATCACCATTCTCGAGATAATTTCTTGTTATAAAAGGCTTTAGATATATGAAGTATAAGAGATTAGAATGAATGTGATAAATACATACTGACCCCAGAATTTACTAAGATATTTTAATGAACTGTGATTTCATCAATGTGTGTACTTTTTCCCACTTGAAGTTGCAGTGAGGGAGTAAAGGAACCTGGTCCATTCAAGATGCAGAGGGGCAGTCCTTACATCTTTTGACATTTTGAGATCACTTTCAAAGCATGCAGCCTATCCATTGGTTATCCCTCACTAGCTACATCCTGACTTCTCTGAATTTTTTTTCCTGTCATATGCCTCTCTGATGACATCTTTTACACTGCTTTTTTCTACAGAGTAAAAAATAAATTTATTCCTAAGATGAAGCAGCCTTTTTTAACCCACTTGTGTACCTCTCCATTGACATTTGGGTGACCCTCTTGTATAATCTTCATAGCCATACAGTACTACTGATAAAATATTGGCATAAAAAGTTGGGCAACACATAGCCCCAGAAAACATCTCAGAAATGTTTTATTCTTATTGTTAGAATATTATTACAGTGATAATGATGGTGTTGATGGTGATTAAAAACAAATTCTTGGCATCAATTTGTTTTGCTGTTGGTTTCTGTCTCTATAAAATTGTGGCCCTCCCCTCAAAAATCTGATTACTTGATAGTTTGGTTAGCTACATTCAAGTGAACTAACTTTCTCAGTGATTAGTAAATTCACTCTAGTAAAGGAGATTACAGCCCATCTGTGTCTGTCCATCGCATGGAACCCTTTTCCAAGTTCTTCTAGAAATTCACTACAGCAGGTCCACACAAACATACAGGAAGAATTTCCAAGTTTTCATTAGCTATAGTCTTATAAAATGAAGTTTTATTTGTTTGTAATAATAATGATGATATTGATGATAACTCACATTAATGTAGTGTTTTAAGATTATAAAACAATTTCTTCTAAGCAATCCTGAAAGTTATATAATTCACTTATTAGCACCCCTAATTTACATTAATCTCTGAAGCAACTGGACCTCTGAGAGGCTATATGGTTTCCACATGTTTATTCAAGGAGTAATTCATCACACCCAAACTTCAAATTAATTTTCTTGATTGTGGGTTTTTCTCTAGTACAAAACAGAGTATTCACTTCATTATTTTAAGTTTTTCTTCTAAGAAGTAAAATTGGGTCACCTGTAGAGCATATTTGGCAACATTTCCATCAGCTTAGTGAAAATGTCAGTGTGTGTGACTGATGAATATAGGTAGTTTGGGGTACACACATTGCGTACACTACACATGATAGGAATTTTGTCATGGTAAGATAACTAAAAGGATTGTGAGTAAGGTTTCCTAGTTGTTCTGGGGATTGGCAAATAACACATACATTACAAACAATTGTAACCAAGCTGAATGTGTGCTAGGAGGTTTAAGACTAAAAGCAGCCTACATTTTCCTCTAGTTTCACTAGTTTTCTTTGCCCATCCATCCGTTGCTTCTATGATGCATACATAGTTTGGCATACTCTGGCAGCTTATAATTGGCCCCTTGCTTCTCATTGTATGGAATTGCTAAAGAAAAACAACTGCATGTTAAGTAGTTGTTAATGGCTAATGAAATCCTTCAATGATTTTAATCATGATGCAGTTCACCTGCTGAGAAGAAAAGATATCATATTATAGTCTATTGAGCTCCAGAATTGCTATTCTTCTACATGTTGCTTTCCTACAAATTCTACACATGAAAGGAAGTAGTATGGTTCAGTAGAAAGAGATTTCAATCTGAATTTAAATCTAGCCCTGCACTTGTTATCAGTGTGACATTGAGTAAGTCTCTTTATTTGTCTAGGTATCAGTTCCTCATCTTTCTAATAAGGAGAATAGATTAGATGGCATCTTCTAGCTTGAGACTGGAAGTCTCTTCCAGCTCTAGGGCTATGGTCCTATGAATGAGTTTTTGGAATGGATGATACCTAACACCCTGTTCACTTCTATCCTTGATCTTAGAAAAGTTATTAAAATTTCACAAAAAAAGTTATTAAAATTGTATAACAATTGTATAAAAAATTTGATGTTTTCTAGGCTAGTAAATGGAGCCTTTAGCTCCAGGAAATACTGTGTGGGTCGAAAATAAAACCAATTTTGTGAGCTTTTCCCTTGTCCATACCTTTTAATCCCTAGTACTCATCATCAAGCCACTAAATAATTTGACTTGATTTGCAGTCTTTATACCAAGAACTAGAAATGTTCTTATTGATATATTTAAGAATTAAAGGAGTAATCATGAACTGACTTTATTCATGCTAAGTTATCCATTTCTAAGACTGCTCTTTCATTGGCATGAAAAAAAAAAGAAATTTAACTCTGATCAGGAAAATAAGGACATGCCTATAAACCAGACAACAGATCTGACTGCCTGTTTGGGCTACATTCCAGCCTCACATTTCTTTTCCTGGCCTGTAGAATAGGAATTGGTGGTCATTAGAATCCTGGCCATAGGATTTTACTAAACAAGAAATGCATTTAGCACCTAATTAAACCTGATTTTTGTTACATTCAATCTACCCCCATTCATTTCACATTAATACATCTATCAATCAACAAACATATTAAGTACCTACTATGTGTCAAATGAGAGGCAGCAGTGACATCTATTGCCTATCAAAGTTTAAATAGCTTTGTCTCCTCACTCTAAGGTTATGATGACATCTTAATTGTTAAATCCAATTACTTTTTCTCGGTCCTCAGCCTTCTTAACATATTTGCGGCTTTTGATACTGTCATTCCCCCTTCCCTTAGGTTCTGTGACAATATTCTCTCTTCCCTTTCTGTCTGTCTATGCTAGATTATAATCTATATTCTGTCCACTAAGCCTAAGTATCCCCTAAGGCTCTATCATGGGCTCTCTCTCCTCTTTTCTTTCTACAGTATTTCTTTTGGAGGTCTCATCATCTTCATAGGTTCAAGTATCACATCTACTCTGAAGACTCTCAAATCTATATATCTGACATGAATCTCCTTCCTAGACTACAATCCTTCATCCTTTTGTAAATTCATATGTTCATTAAGTTCCTTTCCCTTTTCTATCTTTTTCCTCCCACCCTACTTGCCAAATCCTAAAGATATGACTTCTACATCATCTCTCTGATCATCCTCAAAATCCTCACCACAAATCAACTAAAGTAATCACTTTCTTCCTGAGATCTTCCATAAATTTTAATTTTCACCTTTCTAAAGTACTTATTTTTGCATCATAATTATCTGTGTATGTGCCTTCTCCCAGTACCAGATTGTAAGCTCCATGAGGGCAGGCATCTAGTGTTATTAAAACTTTTCATCTCTGCAAGACATATATGTATGCATTTTATGTGTGTATAGAGATACATATATGCATATTATATATTAATATATAACATAGATATAAATATATATGTGTGTATTAGAATATATATTTAAATTTCATTTTATTTGATTTGACCCAAGGTTTCAGCCTGTTAAGATTTGTTATTGTTGTCTTTTAAATCTTGGCTCTGTCATCCATTGTGCTAGCTGTCCCTCCAGTTTTATGTCATTGGCAAATCTGATAAAAGTATCATCTATATTTTTATCCAAGTAATTAATAAAAATGTATATATAGCATAGGTCCCTACATATCCTTAGGGCAATTCACTGAAGACTTCCTTGCCAAAATTACAAATTCACTATTAATAGCTACTCTTTGGGTCCAGCCATTCAACCACTTTCAAATCCATGTAATTGTATTATTGTCTGACTCACAGCTCTCCATTGTTTTCCACAAGAATAGAATGAGAGGTTTCATCAAAAGCTTTGCTATAATCTATGTAAACTCTCTCTACAGCTTTTCTCTGATCATTTTAGTAACCTTGACTAAAAAGGAAACAAGGTTAGTCTATCCTGAAGTGTTGTTGCTAAAGCCAAACTGATTCTTTCCTGCAGGCCACATATTCATTTAGAAAATCGCAAACTAGAATTACCTATGTTGTATTGTACTTTTATTCTATTTTATTAAATATTTCCCAACTACATTTTAATCTGGTTTGAAGGACTCGGGCATGTAACACCTCTATGATATTTCAGCTATCACTAACAGTAGTTCAGTAATTATATTTCAAGAATATTGTTCATCTGGGCTGACGGACTTGAATTCATCAAGGGCTGTTAGATGATCTCTTACAATTGTCTTAGCTCTCGTAAGCATAGATTTGTATTAGCCATTTTTCTTCAGTTCTTTCTAACTCAAAAAATATTTTATCTTGGGCAAAGAAACGAGAAATAAAACTGGAATTGAGTGGGTTTTTTTCTCTTTATCAGTTATCATTGTCCTTTTCATCCCAAGCTGCAGTCCTTGCTTTCTTCAATCTTCTTCTTTTCCTTAATATGGCTTAAAAAAATGTTTAGTTTTCTTTGCAAGCTTCAGTTCATTCTGAGATTTATTTTTACTCCTGACACTATTTTTACAAGATCAAGTTATACTCTCACAAAGACATACTTAAATATACCTTTTAAATTTGACTTAGTAAGTTCTCTGTGAATCCGGGTTGATCCTTTTAGATAATTCCCTTTTTCCTTTCTCATCTGAATTGTTTCTCCAACCACACAAGTAACTGGCTTTTCCCAAATATTATTAAAAATAAGTAAATAATGAGTCAGTCATATTCCACCTAACACTTTTTTCAACCAATAAATTTTTTATAGAATTATTAATGCATTAAAACCATTCCCCTCTAATATTGTATAATGTCAGTTAGGCAGTCATCCATTTATAGCGTAATTCCTATGAAACTCCCTGTCCCTTATAACTTTGTTTTGCATCATATCCTGTTTTCACATATCCAATTAATGACATTAGTGTGTATTTCTATATCCATTTCCAATTCAAACCAGCTGATCACAAAGTGATAGATTTAGAGTTGAAAATCACATTTGAAGTTGCTTAAACCAACCATCTCATTTTACATATGAGTTAACTGAGGTCCCAAGCTGTTGTGTCTTTTTCTTTATCTGTTAATTGTCTTGCCCAAATTCACACAAATAGTAAATAACAGAGCAGAGACTCAAACTCAGTTTTTTTAACTCCAAAGCCATTGCTCTGTCTATTAAGCTGTTTTTCTCTCAGATACAATGATGCTGTATTAAACGATCATTTTTATTTACTATGAAATGTAAGATACTAGAATTAAAAATAATAGTATTTGTACTTCATTTGAATTTGGCATGGATATTGATTTGCATTAGCTCAAAATTGCCAGAAGGGCTGTAAACAAAGAATAATGATAAATGGCACTGAGTTTCAGAGAGGTGTCTTCTGGAATTCTTCAGGGGCTGGTGTTAGGCCTGTTCTTATTTAATGTCTTCATTAATGATCAGGAAGACAGAGTTGACACCATCTGGAAGAGAGAGTTAGAATCATTTTAATGAAATTCACAAATGGCATCAAATTGGTAGGAGTTGCAAAGCACAGAGGACAGAGAAATGATACTAAGCAACCTTCGGAAGTTCAAAATATGGACAGAGAACATCTGAGTTTATTTTTTAAGGATGTAAATATAAATATATACCTCTCAACCACAAGACCTTATAAGTTTGATTCAATTCAATGAGCCTCTATTAAGCACCTACAATGTACTAGATACTATTGGGATTCAAAGGAAAAAAATGAAATTGATCTGAAATAAAATAAAATAGGAAAACTCTGCAATATAGAGTTACTCAAATGCAATGCAATCCTGGCAGTCATTTTTTTTTAATGTCTCAGTGTAATAATAGTTTAGGTTGAGTATCCCATTTTAATCTCTGTTCTTCTTTTGATAAAGTTCTTTTATCCAGGAGTAGGGTTTTTATACACTATATGCCACTGATTATCAAAGGTTTCTCAGTGAATTTACTGATGACAGACCTCTGAAAGAGGAATATGTTAACTCCTTTTTCTCTACTTCTATCCCTATTACCTTATCTCTCCAATGGCATTCTTCAGATCTCAAGTTGCCTGTCAGTGGGGTTCTTTAAGAAAGGACATTTCTTAGGCAATCACTATCATTATATTTTGAACCACCACCACCCATGTCCACTAATTTAGGGGAAAAAATTAGAACATTGTTCCATGCTATTAAACACTATTTCTTCTATATATGTACAGAACAAATCCAACAAAATATCTCCTTTGATACTTCATCACGGCATAGAGATACGAGTTTTCAAACATCATGTTAATGGAGTACAGAGATATTCAGATCTTCTTACCAAACTGACAAGGTCCCAAGTGTGCACCTGCAGATAAATCATGTTTGTCATCCTGGGAATGGTCTAGTGAAGTATGGAAAGGCTGCTTATACCAGAAAATATTCTATGAGGTGGTGAGGGAGTTTTTGTTGGGTCTTGAAGTCTTGTTGTTTGTTTGTTTGTTTGGATTGTGGCAGCTAATAGGAGGGAGTATTTACACTGATGAAATCAAAGACTCTTCAGAGTATTAGAGTATTCACAGAATAATGCTGTTCCATGATATATATATATCCAGCATGGAAAGATTTTCTATACTTATAAAGGGCACAGATGACTTACAGCATTCATAGAAATAAAAACACAACTACGACAAACTGCAATGGGGTAAAGATTAAGCATTAATAAATAGTGTCCTTTTTTCAAAGTAACACAAAGTACTTTATACCCACCATCTCATAAATTCTCACATCAGTCTACAGAAAAGTGTTGTCTGTTATTTTTTAAGCTGTGGGTTGTTATTTGTGATTTGTTGTTATGGAGAAGGAACTTTTTCCCCTAACATTACATGAAGTACTCAGGTGCTTTTATAGGGCTTCCAGTCATATTAGTTTTCTCTAATGTCTTCCATTCCATACAGGTCATGGTTTCCATTGTCTCAGCTGTTGAGCGTATCTTTTTAGCAAACAAAGGCAAATTATAGGGCACCAACTGAAATGTCAAGTTCATATGTACTTTCATGAATTTTCAGGGCAAGTGAACATGTGGTACCTTTTCAGTATTTGCCACATAATTATTTCTTGAACAGTACTAAATGTGACAGTCTGGGAGAACAGGTTGAATTCATTTTTCCAACAGAAGTATTCTTACATTCCATTCAGTTGCCTCTCCAAAAGGCAAAGTAATTCTCTGCTGTAGCATTCCCTTCCTTTCATCCAGTCCACAGAAAATAAAGTTTAATCAGCTATGATGTTACTTTGGTGGACGACTCTTGCAAATTCTTTGTGATGGTGCATAAGTGTATGAATTCATCCATTACAAAGACTGAGATATTAGAGTCATCCCATAATAAGTTCCCAAATTAGATCACTTCCTCCATCTTATTAATTTCACCCTTTCTGTCTCTTTTCATTTGCCCTAGTCTCTGTCTTTGGTGAATAGCATTGGGATCTAGTGATAAAAAAAAATGTCCTAGTAGTCCATAATTCTGACATCCAATGGCTTTACTGAACTCATGATGACATATTTAGAGCTGGAAAGTACTTTAGAGGCCATTGAGTTTAAGCCTTTCATTATACAGATGAAGAAATTGAGGCAGATAGAGGTGAGCTGACTTGTCTAGGGTCACAAAACTAGTATCTGAGGTAAGATTTAAACCTAGGTATTTCTGGCTCCAAATCCATCATTCTATCCATTAGTTGTTACATAGTAAAAAGAGCATAGATTCTGGAGTGAGAAAAAATGAGTTCAGATCCTATGCCTGATGTTTACTGCCTGTGTAATCTTAGGAAAACCATTAAAGCTACCAGGGCCTCAGCTACATCATCTATAAAATGAGCAGGTTGGCTTACATGACTTCTGGGGTCTCAGCTCTAAATTCAGGTATTAGGAGGTTTCTACAGCAGTATTCAGGAGTTTTGAAAAGAAATGGGACCTATTTTTAGATATAATATGTTTCAGTTTTGATCCTAACATTACTAAGCCAAGTCTTTATTTCCAAGCCTCCATTTTCCACTTCCCTTCCATTCCTACTCATTAACAATACTACAATACATTGCAAAACACATTTTTATATTTATGCCCAGTTATCTATCTGCTTGGGAAAAAACTCCAAAATCTACTCTGACTGACTCTGATAGCTCTTATTTATTTGTCCCAAAAATAATTATCATTTGGCAATTTTTGGACCACCTTAGTAAGCTGTATTGTTTTTTTCAATAGTAAAAACATAGTTCTGATGTCTCCAGTCTCAAAGCTGGTGCCTTTCCAATATCAAAAAGTCAATTAAATTATGGAATATATTATGGGTGACAATTGACACCCTTGTAAAATGCAGCCTCTGTAAAGAAATGCTAATTTTGGTATATTCCTAATGCAATTAGAGGGGAAAAGAACACAGTGGGAAAACAAATCACATAATTTCTTTAAGCTAAAACTAACCTTCAACACATATACAAACATGCACACTTTCATGCTATGAATCTAGCAACCCTTCTATACTTCCCCTGTATCTTATCTCTCTAATCAAAATCTCAAAGTAGGGAGAGAGCCATGAATCTATTAGAGAAAAGACTCCCACTGCTATACAAAGTCTATGCTACTCATAACAAGTACAGATTCCTATTGAATACCTGATTGACAGGTACTGAAGTAAGCGATGGAAGTGTTCCTCTCCAGATTGGTGATAGAAGGGAAGTTAGGGAAGGGCAAAAAAAAAAAAATGGTTTCTTTAATATATCTTTGGGGATCTTTGAGCCAATTCCTCAGTAGTGTTTAAATTTAGTAATTGGTAGAAGGAAAGACTTTTATGTGGAGGAAAACACCGAAGATTTTGGCTCATATTCTTCACCATAGCAGGGCTATTGTCACTCTCTTCTCTGAGTTTGAATGGTCCAACCAGTGGGATATTTTGGCACTATGACTACGCTAACTTCCTTTGAACAGAATTGCTAATCCCATTATAGCACAAAAACAAAAAAAGTATGTAATTCAGTTGGATGCTAAACTCTCCAGAACAAGTGTCAATGTCAAAAGAAAACCCCCTAATCTCATGATTAAGAACAAACGAATGCATAAAAGAAAAACTTCAAGGAAGATACAAACTTACCACAATAGTAAAGGAAAGGTCAGCAGGATCCTCTTTCTTTCATACTAATGGCCCACTTACAGATAGTCAGAATTCCCTCCTGAAATATAGCTGTATGCCAATTATTTCACACGAAAGTTTCATCAAAAGAATAATGTTACTTGTAGAGCTAAACAACTCAGCCCATCTCATAGCTGTTTAATTAAATGACACAAACCAATGAACAATTTTGTTCAGTACTGTAGGGCATAACTTTCCATCGAGAAAGGTTTCCTAAGGTAGATTTTCTGAATGCTTGGTTGCATGATGGTTCCATGTGGTCTAAAGTGAGAGAGCATGAAATTTCTAACTTTACAGTAGGGGCATTTATCAGCCCTGCTTCTAAGATCAGATTCAAGTATAAATTATGCACCTATCTTCAGGTATCTACAATAATTTATAGAATCAAAAGAAAATAGGTCTAGAGCTAGAGGGGTCCCCGGAGGTCATTTAGTGCAAGCCCTTCTTTACAGATGAGGAAATTGAGGTCCAGCAAGGTAAAATGACTTGGCTTTGAAATTAGATCTCTTCCGACTCTACACCAGTGCTTTCTATTATATCTGCAATGTTTCTCCCACTTTCTAGAAACCATTCATTCTCAGAAAAACAAATAGAAAATTGTCATAATGAACCAGAAACTTTTTGGCACCTGAGGCTGAATGCTTCAACTCTTAGAAACCAAATACAAAGTCAAATGCCACCAGGAGAAAACAATTGCCCTTCCCTTTAAGAATCTCAAGGGATATGATAAATTTAAAAACAATAAAGAGCAACTTGGGTAGATATGTAGCAGCCCCAGATATTTGGACTCATTCTAGGTTCACAGAACTAAGACTCACCTTTCTGCAATTTTCAAAATGTTACTCAGGATAGGGGAAAACCATACCCCACCAGACTTCACCATGGTGCAGATTGTGACTACTGAATTTGAACCAGACTGATCAACACCTCATTCATAGTGTGTTTTAGTAACATCCACCCCTGGCAAATGGAGTAATATCACTTTTCATATTGAGAAATGAATGAAACAGCTTTGGAAGAATTTGGATTATCCTTGTTTTATCTTCACTTCCTTAGGCTGGTTTTCTCCTATGTAAACTGAAAAAACTGGCCTTGAGAAAGCATCTATACCTGGGTACCTCCACTGTGTCTTCTTTCACTCACTTTTAAACCTTCTCAATCTAGTTTCCAACCTCATCATTTAGCTGAAACTCATTGCTTCAAAGTTATCATTGATCTCTTAAATATCAAAGCTAATGGCCCCTTCCCAATTTTTATCCTTCTTGACTTTACAGCAGCCTTTTATACATCAGTCACATTCTCCTC